ATCTTCTATGATGTTTTAGGAATGAAATAATTTAACAAACGTGAGAATAGATAGAAAGGTGCGGAAGAATTATTATGCCATAAATTTTGCATCAGAAGAACAGAGACTGCTTTGGCAGATACTTCACGTTACAGAGAGCAGGCTTCTATGTCATGGCTTAGACTGCCTCAGTGCCAAAGAAGCGTCCTGGGGAGAAAGCATGGCACAGTCAGTACACAACTACCTACAGCATACCAGCCACCACAGGGCAGTGCACTGTATCCCACTTTCTTACTCTTCTGTATAAAAGCCAGAACAGTGATAATCAGTGTACGTTTCAAAATTTAGAAGAGGCATGAGTTAAGCTGTAGGAAAAGGGCACATTTGTTTATTTAAAAGTCTAAGCAACCATAATAAACATATGCTCAAATAATCAGCTCCTGTGTAATTACTCCTTCACAAGCACAGTTATTAGGTAGGTAAATTCACTCTTTTTTGAAAATGCAGGTCAAATATTTCTCTCTTAGATAAATTATGTGCCACAGAAGACTGAGCTCAGGGCATGTATTAGACTAACATTTATGAAATCGAAGTGTTGAGACCTTTCCGACCTTTTTTAAAACCCCAACCTTGGGAACAAGTAAGGACAGTGTTATTTTAATGTGCATTCAAATTTTAACAACAGTCACACAGCTCTAGTGGAATCCACATCGAGTTTCCACTGTAGATTGCTCATCATTTCATTATGGCTCATTACGCTGATAACTGTCAGAAAACATTAGAAGCCGGGGCCTTGAGTAATAGCACTGAAATGGTAATTTAAAAACAATATACTTTCTGGAGGAAATACAGCACTGTGCTAAATTCAATTAGAAGAGGCGAATGTAAAGACAACTAAGTGATGTTTGCCGTTTCAAGTCAGGTTCTTCGATTTCTTAACCTGAACTGGAGAAAGCCCTTTTAAAGCAGGCACTTTTCTCATGCATCTCACTGAATTTACCCTCATTATCTCTAAGCTTCTCTGGTATAAACCGTCTTAAATGCAACGGTTTCGGAAATATTTCAGGGCACGCCAAAATACCAATCAACCAGTGACTGTTTGGGTGGAACAACAGACTAAATGTTTCAGGGTCACTTACTGAGACAAATTTCAAGCTGGACAGCCTGGTAATCTCTATTTTGTAGAGGACTCCCAATTAAAAGTCATTAATAATCAGAATTGAACAGACAATATAAACAATACAAAACCATCCCATATTTGCTCATAATGTAAGCATTGTTTGTTAAGAAACAGTTTGAGAACCTGACTCATTAACAGTGGGGACGTGGGACCAACACCCATTAGTCTGGGTGGGAAGTGCACCTGCCTGCATCAGGCTGCGATTGAGGGAGTCTCGCTGCCACATCTTTACAGAGAAAGAAAGTCCAGAATGAGGATCATGATTGAGACTGACTGTTAATCAGCCTTATGGATCTGTGTCCTGGTAAGGCAGTTTATTCCCCATTGGACTGCTAACCTTATGAAAGGCCCATTCCCTCAGCAAGTACTAAAATACAAAGAAGGTTTGAATATTTGCCCTAATGCAACTTCTGCAATGCTTCCAAAAGGGAGAATTTCTGTGTTTGCCACAGTTTGTGCTCAAGTGAACCCAAGGTCAATCATAACCACCTCCACGCCCAAGCACACAGCTGACAAGTCCACTGTGCTTCAGCATTCAAAGTCTAAACTCCCAGCACAGGTCAATGAGGCAGATCCAGGGCGGCTCTGCAGCTTGGTGGTGACAGACACAATGATTATTATTCCCACAAGGGAAGCGTGAGGGAAAAGAGGCATCAGTTAAGTACGTGCAAGTCAGAGTGTCTATGCCTGCCTGGCTTTCCGACACAGCCCACTGTCTCTTACACTCACGTCCAGCCACATTCTGCCCTTTCTTGTAGGAGATTTAGGGCAGACATAACCACTCACTTCAGCAGAGCTAAACAGAGAAGAATGCTAAACAGAGAGCTTCACCTATTTGTTTAGATTGGATGCCTGACTGAACTGAAGGTTAAGCACAGTTTTTACAACTCAACAATGGATAGAAATGTCAGATAGTGGTGCTCTGGAACCAGGAAACTCTGAAGCACCTCCTCTGACCAGCACATCAGGAAGGAGGAGCTGCTTAGTACGTACCATGCGAGCTGTGAGGAAGGAAAGGAAAGGGAATTCACCAATTCCCTGCCATCCACTGGCACAGACAGCCTAATGGAAAGTCATAACAGTCCTCCTCACCCAACCTAGAAGGCAAGATAAACGACGAGGCCAGCCAGCCTATTAGCAAAGGAAATCAATAGCCAAGGGTCAAAGTTTTACAAAAACACATCCTAAGAAGCCTGAAGTTTTTCATCTTAAAAACTGTTTAGAAATAAGAAAGAAAGGATCAATCCTCTGTCCATTCCAGGTGTTGTCTCCAAATTACCTAATGTTTCTTTTATTCACCTGGTCTAATAGCTCTCCAAGTGAACAGAAAGCTGATTTTACAAGCCAGTGGAGCACAGTCTATCTTTTTGCTAAAAGAATGGATCTCTGATACTGTGTTTTATTTCTTCATTAGTGTGCCGTCACACTGAGCGATTACTAAATGCAGGGCCGAATGAGAATACCAGGGTTAAAGAGAGCATAATGAACAAAGAAGGTGCCTGATTATTATGGCTGTCAGCACAAGGGAATTGGGTTTGTCACCTGGTTTAACCAACTGGTAAGAACTGATTAGAGTCTGAATCTATCTGAAAGAACTTTTGATGTTTACGGTCCCTTCTGTCTCCACATCTTGTCAGGAGAGGCAGACAAACAGGGAGTTTCTTCCGGAGGGCCTTCCTTCAACACAGGCCTTTCCAACGATTCCTGGCACTTGCCTAAAACCCGTGGGAATAAGGCAACTTGGTGTGGCAAAGGATGGCCCTCCAGGAGCCTCCTGACCCCATTCTTGTACAAGGCCCCATGGGCTGCACCCAGGACCTGCACAGTTGCCACCATCACAGCCACGCTCCAGCAATGAAGAGAAGGTGTGAGTGAGCAAAGCAGCCCCACCAGCCAACTCCAGAATAACTTCTGAGTCTTACTTCACGTTGGATCACAAAAAAAGCAGCTCTTAAGCTACTGGTGAAAATTCAGAGCTATGAAATGTGCAGAGACAGGCCTGCTTCCCAGGGCCAGGCGGCCGTGGGACTGTGCTGTTGGCTTGCCTCTCTGCACATCACATCTGCAGAGATGAAGACTGTGGCCAACACCATGGCCCTTGCCCTCTCTTTTGCACTCTCCATATTTTCACTATAGAAGAGCAAGACAGGGGACCTCAACTTTGACTGACCTCCAAATACCAGAAGGGGGAAGGCTGCCAGAAGCAAGTCCAAGACTTGACAAAAAAAGGCTAGGCTTGCAGGAGTACATTTTGCAGTGTAAGCAAACATACATATCATTTGCTCACAATTCCCCCATCTGGAATTATTTTGCTCTCTCCTCATACTTCAGTCCCACACGTGCCTATTTAAATTCAACCAGCTGATTCCTAATTTGATTTCTATTTGGTCAGTATGTCAGCTGCTACAACCAGAGCTTTATGAGAAAATTTTTGCTGGTATATTTCGAGTGTATCTTCTGAACAATAGTTTTATTGTTGCTAAAGACATTTTCCCTATCAAAACGGTCAAGTTTGAAATCTTCTAGTGTAAACAGTATTACAAAAAGCACGATCCCACTCAACTTCAGTGAGGTTTCACATCACAGCTAGACTTCTATCCCCAATCAGCATTTGGCAAGAGATACAGGGACTTCTCTGCTTTCCTACTAAGCTAAAGCAGCTGCTCCTGACTATACCCAGACCTGATCAGCCACCACCCAGCAAAACTCCCAGCTGAAAGGAAGGAGATCACTGAGGAAGAGCTGGAATCACAGGGTGTGGGAAAGGGATGAGTGCTGCTGAGTTATGGACATAGTTTGTTTCTGCCTTGTAAGGGAGAAATTAAGATTGAAACAAATGTGAGTCATCTCTCTAAAATGAATTTGGAATATATTAAAATGTTACAAAAGAAATATCTCAGCCTTCCCTCACAGACACACACGCTACATAAATATACAGTTGAACTCCGAAAATCTGGAAGCATTTTCAATAGCTTTCAGAGAAAGTCACACATGGATATCCCCCAGTAAAATACAGCCCTTTCACTTACGGTTTCAAACTACTCTGCTCCTACAGAAACAAAAACCAAGGCAGTAGATGATCACGATTTAACACCAGGGCATGTCTAGAGTCTCAGGTCTTTGGCTGCCTAACCCATTAACCAACACACAGGACAAGGAGCTGTTCCAGTAACTCGGCGGGTGTGCTCAGCGTGCTACGCCTTTTGTTTCTCATGCTGAAAATGTTCTGGTGGAACTGAAGCATAATTCCATTTGCTGTGCATGATGTATTTATATACAAAGGATGTCTTTATATACAAAGGATAAAGTAAACCATACTTTTGGGGAGGTTTTATTCATTATGGTTTAAAATTTCTTATTACCATGCCTTTTGGAGGAACACTCCTATATTCCTAAGGGGCATCAGCAATAGTTTGTGCAAATTAGATATTTAATGAATAAATAAATACTATATATTTACTCCTTATCGTATAATTATGAAAAAAAAGATGTCACAATTTCTAGAAATACCAATAATTTAAATATGGAGAGTGATGTCATCTACTAGACAGGTCCTCAGACTGGAAATTAGACCTGTAATTACTTCCATTGCTGAAGCTTGCAAGTCTTTAGACTGTAATCTCTCAAGGGTCAGTGCAACCATATCACTGTTAGGAATTCAGGGCTGAAAACTAGTGTTTTCTCTCCCAGAAGCGTGATCCAAAATGCAAACCTCCTCTGCAAAGGGCTGCAGTAGCTAATGGACACTGCTATCAGAAGCAGGACTTCTTAGACACAGCTCTCCAAGCAGTATGAGAAACAGGCGATGGAAAGGGAAGAAAGTGTTTAAATACCAACTTACGAGTGCAGGGCATGGACGCAGCATCATTTTCAGCTCGGAAAAAGCCCCGATCGCAGGTGCAGGAGGTAGAGCCTTCCCAGATGGAGTAGCTGTGAGGCGGGCATTTGGCACACGCAACATCTGTCGAGAGCGCCTTGTAGTATCCGATTTTGCAAGCTAGAGAGAGGGACAGGAAGGGAGAGTGTTACTTGCCCAGACTGTGGCCATAAATCTCTGCCTTACTTATTCAAAATCAAGGCAGGAGACATTTCAAAAGGATCTAATGATGTCCTCTTAGCCCCAGGTGAAGAATTAAAATCATCATACTCTTAATGAGTACTCCTATGTCAGGAGATACCAATTTCTAATTCCAGCAAGAGCCATCTTGGCTTGGAGATGGCAAAAAAAATTATGGACTTGTGTTGACGCTGCCAGAAAATCAGCTGCCTCTTTGTGCTTACTGTGGAGCTGCACGCTGTTTAACCCACGTCCACCTGCATTCACAGACACCAGAGCATGCAACAAAAGGGTGCAATTGCTTCATTCTATGACCGCTTAAGGAATGGCAGCTGACAGCCAGACCCTGCCAATTTTTAAGAGGGAATGGGACAGGAACCCACTGTGATTGGCAGTGAGGCCATGTGCCTGACATGCCCGGAAATGGCTCATCTCCCTCCTGGAAAGGCAGAATTAATTTGGCTCCCGATCCCCAGCAGAGGAAATCAGCAGTGCTCTCCCCTCCCCGAAGCCAGGACTCATCACTGACTGCACCACTGGCATGAGGTCCCATGTGCGGCTTGGCAAGCTTTCCATGACATCATCTTTGTAAGTGCAATGCTTACACGGATGGGTACTTTTACATCACTTGGAAAAAACTCATTAGTATCATTAATAACACATTTTAACAGTGGCTAACGCGTATGCCATCTCAGAAATTTCTCCCTTGGCTCGAGATAAAAGCCAACCACCACCCTGCTTTCAGCACTATGGACAAAGAGAAAACACGCAAGTAGACAAACATGTACAAAGGAAAGGTAGTTCCAGGCATTTGCTGCACTACTCCCACTCATGTTTGGCCACTGATCGCTGCCCTAACACCAAGTCCCCTCACACGTTGACATTTATCACTGCCCTAGCACCACAGTCCCGTCTCCCTGCCCAGTGCAGTGCACAGTTCCCACCCGGCCCTGTCCAGCCCAGGCTCCTTCTCCTGCTCACCTTCCATCAGCTGCTCTCCTTTCCCTCCCCTTCTTTAATGAAGCTGTCCATACTGGGAACGGGGAGGGGTTTAGTAACACATTTATAAACCAGCAAGTTGCTTTCCTCATTAACCAAAGCCATTTCTGGAATTTCCCTAACGAGCCCTAACTTTACGACGTGCCGTGCACCATCTGCACGAGCGCTGGGAGACCGGCTCGCTTTTGCTCGCTTTGGCTGCCACTGGACCAGAGAATCTTATAAAAACACATTGCTCAAATGACTGAGATTTATGCTTCCGGAGTTTACACACATCGTGCAATTAGATAAGGTTCAACTCGCAAGGTGCTTTCTGGCCCTGCTTCAAATGGCCCTGGGGCTTCGAGGAGAATCAGAAACCGTAGTGCTGGCAGGAGGAGTGGTGGGGCCAAATCAGCAGCGTGCCCCCAGCACGGCACAACCCTGGGCACAGACTGTCAGCTGGGCACAGCCATGGCTCCTGCTTGTGAAGTGAATGGATCAGGAAAAGGAAAAAAAAAAAAAAAAAAAGAAATTAATTTTCCATTCTTTGCAATACGTGGTGAACGAGCTGTGCTATTGCTACAAGCCCTCCTGCAGCCAGCTGAACAGCAGCTGGTTCTGAGCTGAGATCTCAGTCCTGGTTCTGCTCTTCTGCCTCAGCCCAGCAGCACAGTCAGTACAGTGGGAAACAGGAGTCCAAGTGGAGAGCACACTAACTGCTTCCGTCTGCTATTCAAGGGTTTCAAAGAAGAACACATGAACTCTAACATTATTTTAATGTGAGCATGATTGTTCACAGAAGTTATTAAATGAAGAGCTACATTTTGCATTTCCCCAGTATCAGAGCACTCTGATGGTGTTGTTCACAGCTGCAAGCTCTGCACTGACTCCAGTGTTTTACTGGAAAGGTAGAAAAACGGAGCAGGGTTGAGGATCCTTCCTCTGCTCACTCCCTTCACAGGTAATAGATGGATGCAGTGGGTACTGCAAGGTCAACAGACTGTAAGTCAAGGATTTTTCCCCTTTGTTTGAAGCACTGTATTTTGCTTTCTACTATATTAAGCCACAATCATTAATATTTCAAGACCTGAAGAAGGCTCTCCCAGTGCAGTGACTGCTCTGAAGCGCACACAGCCATTTTGCTCCAGCTGCACAGAGCCATCAGCTCTCTTTGCTTCTGTGTGCTCTGAGATTCACCACATTTCAGACCGTGGCACAAAACTGCATTAGAGAACACGCTGCACTAAGCCAGCAGTCTTTACTCCCAGAGCTCGGTGGCACTGTCACTTCTTGGTTAAATCTAATCCTGCTAGGGCAGCTCCACACAAAGCCCTGCGGCCGCAGCCATGACCAGCAGAGCCAGGGCAGGCAGCAGAAGAGCTGCCTAGGAGCTCCCTGGCTCAGAGGCCAGCACACAGCCCATGCAGAACCTGCTCCATGGGCATCCTGCCTGGCTGCAGATCTCCATCCCGCTGCTGTCTTAGGAAGGGCTTGCAGGGCAAGGCGGGCCACGAGCAGCGCTCTTACACAGCTTTCAAAACATTCCAATGTGAGAAGATGAGTTCACGTGTGCTGTACAAACTGTGTTCCTTAGCTTTGCCTTAATTAGCTCTTTCTGTTAGCTTAGAGAAACAACAATAAGAAAAACAAACAGACATCTTCTCTCCCATTCACCTCACCCACAGCAAGGTTACGGCCCTCTGCACTGTATCCAAAGAAAATTCTGAAAAATATTTTCAGTATCAAAATGCTCACAGTTTCTTTTAGAACAAATCTCATTGACTCTAAATGGACGTCAGCTTGAAGTAAACATGCTGATATCTTGGAGTTGCCATGTTACAATCTATTTAATTTCTATTTCCCCTAAAGGCAGGCGGCATTTGTCCAGCAGTGCCAGCCAGCACCACAGGGGTTCTTTTTTAGAACAAAAATGACTGAACTGATACACGTCAGAGCTGCAAGAAGCGCTCAGAAGAATTACAGAATTTCAGTCCAATCTCCATGTAAATTTTCTCAGGCCGTTTTTCAAACTTCATTTTTCTCATTAAAACCTGATTTTCTAGTTTTTATGGCTTTTTTTTTTTTTTTAAAGGAAAAAACATGTGTGGGCTGGAAAGTCTGCTTGCAAGCTCTTGCCAAATGCTGAATTCTCCATTAGAAAATTTCAGGCAGCAATTTCAGAATTTCATAGTGCATGGAGTTCTAGTCACATACTTCTATTTTACTGCAACTAAAAAGAATTAATATTTTTAACAACTATTTTAAAATAAACTTTGATTCTTTTTTCCTCTGATTTCTGGATAAAAATGAGAAAAGTCCCCTTCAGCATTTTAAGTTGTTCAAGAAAATGGAGCACGTGCAGCCTGGGCTGCAGAGCCATCCCTTACAAATCCCAGTGCTGCGCGTGCCACCGTCGAGGTGCTCTGCATGGGATGGGTTCCCCCTGGCCGGAGCCACAATGGGGTCAGCAGTGGATGAGAGATGCTCACGGTGCTCCCGTGTCCATTGGGCACATGGGTAATGCTGCTGACAGTCTGCGGGTGGAAAGGCACTGGAGCCAACTTTGAGGAAAAAAACAAGAATAATATTCCTGGTTAAATGAAGGACAAAACAAATAATTTCAGAAAAAAGACATCAGTGTTTTTCTTATAAGTTTCAGACCAAAAAGAAATTTGTGTATCAAATACTTTGATAGCACATTATATGTTTTGTCATCAGCAGTTATTTTTTCTACGGCTCCTGTCTGTGTGAAAATATTTTAAGCTCATGCTTTAATTGCACCCTTAGGGATAAGAAGTTACTTTTATTTTCCCCCTCTAATGTTCCTCCTACTCTTTAAAAGGATGGATTTTCTCCCTCAGATTGTAACAAAACCACATCTGCCACATAAGTAGGCAGCATCTTCTCAGCTCTCTTTTACTGTTATTACCATTTCTGAGCAGATTTTTGTGTGTTAATTATAGAACTCAATTGTTTGGATAGTCTCTTTTGATGAGCTTTCTGCCCCGCACCATGAACTCCTCTGTTATTGTACAGCTGTTTGAGTTCCAAATGCTCATCAGGGTTTTCTAATTGTCAAGCTGTCCCAGCGACTAGTTCTTTTGACCTAAAAGTCAAAGAAAGGGAGTCACCCTTGTCTCCCCAACATGAATGCCAGGGGAGCCCCAACAGCCCCCCTAATGCCTACGAGACAATGCCTTTCCAGATCATTGCCACTACTAGCATAATTGGTTTTGGGTGAAATGAGAAGATTTTAAATAGGATGAATTAATGAGTTTCTTGTAAAATTAAGTCGTTCTCCTGGTCCAATCTAATTACTCACTGTAATGCCCCTGAGGGTGATAAATAAAGATCCTTAGAAGCCAGAGGGGAAAAAGAAAAAATAAAAGTGTCTTCTCTTCAGCCTTTCTTACAAGTCAGGTTGTAGAATTAGATGCAACCTACCAAATAATGTTTCCAAGTAAGGTCACATTCCTTTGATGTTCATGCTGCAACATCTTTACCACCTATTTTACCTCCTTTTAAGAACAACTGTATAATTTCTACACATTGAGTTCCACGTCTTTAACCCCTCTCCAATGAGCACAGCAGTATTTCCACACGCCAAGCCCATTTTTCTATTGTACGAATGACAAGCAGAAGCACAAACACTCTTGCTAAAGACAATTTTGGGACTTTGGAGCAGTTTCCCTCCTTGTGCTGGCTCAGCCTAGATTGAAGCCATCACAAGGTGAGGACAAAGGATGGTGTCAGTGACTGGTGGATGGATAGTTCAGTTTTTGCACCTGGAGAACAGGAAGCTCACCTGCTCACACCTGGCAGAAGCCGAAAGATGTGAGGAGCAGGTAGCCAGGGAGATCTCTGCTATGGAATTGGCCCACCGGTACCATCCAAGGTCTCCTTCTGCATCCTTGGAAGAAAAGGGATGAGGCGCAGACCTCTAACTGCAGCTGCCAATT